AATCCCTTTACTTTACCAAACAAAAGGCAAGGAGCAACCAATTTGCATGTATATAAGTACCAAATAGCAAAATTCCGAGTCAAACACTCTCCTAGCTGGAGAAAAACACGCAAGCGCCACCTCAGCAGCAGCCAGGTTAGAAAATCCAGCGATGCTCAAATTCCACGTGATTTGATCCCATTTGGTGACAGCCGAGCAAATTCTATGAAGCTTGGCCAGGCTACAGCCACAATCCAAGTACACTACGAGTAAAGTGGTCTGACACATAAACAGCGGAATGAATTTCCCTGCACTGGGTTATATCATCTTTACATTGAATGTTTTAAGTTCGCCTTAAGGCTCAAACGGGACATTTACCTGGCAAAATTCATTTTTATGGACTAATTCATGGAAAACTTTTTCCAACCCTCCATGTCGATCGCACTTCTGCCCACCACAACATTCAACTCGAGGCCCCATTTCAAGCTCAGCCCGTGCGCTTGAGCCCCAAGCCTATTGTCTTCCAGCTGCGCACTGACAGCCCGAATAGCTTTCATGGGAATATCCTCTCTCGGTATCTCAACAATCAGGGAAAAAACAGTGGACGATTCAAGGGCCTTCAGGTACCAAGAAATCACGGCGTTCCACGTGACCGCGATCCAGGGGCGCATTTCGGCAAACAGCTGGTGGGCCCGCGAAATCTCGGCGCATTTTGTGGGGGTGAAAACCCCTTTCGAACGAGTTGAACTTGAATTCCAATTTGAAAAGGCAGTCATTCTCGGTTTGAATGTTAATTGACTGAGCTGTTGAGAGTGTGAACGTGGTAGTGTTACTTATGGCTGTATGGTGAAAGAAAACCAAACAGAACCGTGTAATTTTGATGCAATGCGGTTATTCTAACTTCTAAAATTTTGGTTCGCTTGCATGGGAGATTGGGGCCCGCAAGGTGTGGTGGAGAGGTGGATAAACCAAAGCATTATTGAGATGGTCCGTGAAGATAGGGGTGGCCAGTCCACGGGTCACAGCCCGGCCCGGCCCGGCCCGCCGGGCCCACGGGTCTCCCTTGAGTGACCCTTAACCGGCCCGCCAAAAACTAAGGGTTGGGCCCGCGAACTGGCCATGTCCCGGCCCGGTCTCGGACCCGTCCCGGCCCGCTTCCGACCTGGTCCCGGCCCGGTCCTGGACCGCCGGGACCAAAATGAAAATACGAGACCCGTTTCCGACCCGTAAAGTCACGGTTACGGTCCTCGGAACCGGCAACCACGGGACGGGCCAGAACCGGGATCACGGGCCGGTCCGGCCCATGGCCATCTCTACGTGAAGATGGTGGATGCAGTATCCATAGGGGGATTTTACGAGAGATTAGTGTTGTAAATGAACCGAACTAAATACAGTTTGGGCTGTTCGTGCTCGTGTTCGTTTACGTTCGAACAGTGTTCGTGTTCGTTCGTTTATTTTTCGAGCAAAAAATTGTATTCGAGTTCGTGCGTTTATTTTTCGTCAAAGTTCGAATTCGTTCGTGCTATAATAATTTAATACATAAACTTTTTAAATACGTTGGATTAACTCGAAATTTGTTCGTTCGAACTTGAAAATAAAAGAATAAAATTAAAATATTTTAATATTTTAGATTTTTTATTAAAAGTATTATGTAAATATATATAAAAAATAAAATTATATTAAATTAATGTTCGCGAACATAATCGAACTTTCACGAATGAGCTCGTGTTCGTTCGATTATTAAACGAGCCTAATTTTTTGTTCGAACTCGGCTCGATTAACAAACAAACGAGCTTTTGTCGAACGTGAACGAGCTCGAACAACTTTTTGTCCGCAAACGTTCGATTCGTTTACAACTCTACGAGGGATACATGAGTTGTTACGTCGGCAATGGCATGTAGTTCTGCAGCATGGTTATCGCGAAGCGAATTTTTTTGTCGATTTTTTTGCCTCCGTTGCGACGCAGGGGCCTGGCGGAGATTTGGACGATCCTCCCTAGGGTGCGAAGATTTGGCTTGCTCATGATGTGGTAGGGGTGTCGTATCCTATAAATGTACTGGTCTCGGCATAATCGGTTCTTTTTTGTAATGTGGCTATTTATTTATTTAAAATTTGGTTTTTTTTCACAATTTTTTTTTTATTTTTTTTTATATGGTGTTATTTTATATGAAATACACCATAATTTATGGAAGAATGGAGAGAAATTTGAAATCAAGTCAAATCTTGCAATTTAGAGTGATGATGTTCGATTAATTTTTGTGATTAAAAGTTTTGGTTTGGTTTTTTATGTTTTGTGACATGGCTTGATTTAAAAAGTTTGACAATTTTAATTTTTTGATATTTTCTATTTTGTATGATTTAAATACCAAACTGCATCGTGGAGAAAGTTCAATGCAAGTTTTGTAGGGTGACATCTTGGGTGCCCTATTTGCCTCTTCAACCATCATCATTTTAGAATTGTTTATAAAGAAAAAATTCAAACTCCAATTTAATAAAAATTGTTACCCAATATTTTATCCAAATAAAAACATACATTCTAAAATTATTATAACCCATGAAAAAAAAAAAAGATATTCTATTCATCAATTTCGAAAGAGTGTTTGAAAATACTGTTGTATTTTTTAAAAAGTAATTTTCTACTTATATTTCAAATGAGAATCCAAAAAAAAAACAAAAAACTCTCAATAAACATTTAAATTCACTTTAAGGCACGACTTTTTAAATTCAATAGCCAAACTACGGCTCGAGAATACATGTTAATTTAATTTTACTTAACATTATCATAGCATTCTTCTACTTAATAAATGTAAAAAGAATAGCACACTAATAATGGAAAATAAGAAGTAAGATTTCAAGCAAGAAAAAGGAAAGGAAAAGGAAAAGCCCCGGTGAAAGCAATAGATAACTTATGTCCTTGATAATGATATCTAGGGGCAACTTCGTCATTTCACTAGCTCTACAAAAAAGTTAAAAACAATATACAGCAAATGACCCTGCCCACTTTTAGGTGGTGACATAACTATAGGGGCAGTTTTTGAGCTCCACCCCGAATGTAAAGGATGAACGTGTCATCTATCCGCAGATTCTTTTCTTTTGAGCACGAGCAAAACTCATTAATTTCAATATATTTTTTCTCTATACGTCTTAAATTTCAATTTTCTACTCATTAATTTTCCTTATTTTCTAGTAAATCACATCCCACATAAAAGACCGTAATATTATCGTTAGAACACCCACAATGCTTTGAGTCTCTTTTTGTATATGTGGCATATAAATAGACTTAAGTCTATAATGACATCAACAAATCCAAGTTAAAAAGTCTAAAATTTACCAATGTAAAAAAAAAAGTACTAGGTCTAGAATACCTAACAACCATTAAAAATATAATAATAGTAAATGATTGATATTGTAAGGTTCACACTTGGGTCCAAAATTGACCAAAGAGTGGACTTTGTCTCTTTTTTTTATTGACACATAAGCTAGACTAAGTCTATTTTTAATTGCATTGTGAAACACTTTTTTATACACTAGGTCTATTTCCTACATGACATGTGACCTTTTTTAAAGAGACTCACAAGTTTATTAGTCATATTTAGTTAATGAACTTGCATAGTTTTAAATTAAAATATCACATTTTAAAAATCAACGTAAAAAAATATGACATTGATAATATAAATATGTATTTTTATTAAAAAATAATTAATAATTAGGCGAGCGAAACACAAGAAATTGGGAAAAAAGATAGTCTTGACTGCTCATTCAATGGTCAAATAGTCCCCTATTAGAGATGTTAAACGGGCTAGCCCTAACGGGCTTCGGGTTAAATGGTCCGGGCCTAAAAAGTCCGGATTTAAACGGGCTACTAAAAAAAGGACCTAACCCTAACCCTAGCGGGCTTCGGGCTAAACGGGCTATGCGGTCTATGACTATAATAATAATAATAATAATAATAATAATAGTAAAAGAGTAAAAAATATAAAAAAAAATAACAACGGCTAGTTAAAAATTATATTCAATGGTTATTTAGTATTTGTCGTCTATATATCACTATGTTTCATGTATTTCTTATTAGTCGTTAAAGTACAATAACAATATTGTTAATAATTATATTTCAAAATCATAATAATCCATTACAACTCGTACTTACATGTGAAGTGGAATATCAAAATTGTAATATACAAGGAATTTAAGAGCATATTACTTACTTGATGCAAACATTTACACCGCCCAACCTTAGTTAAACGGGCCAGCCCTAACGGGTTCAAGGCTAGCCCTAGCGGGCTTCAGGCTAAACGGTCCGGGCCTAAAAAACCCTGATTTAAACGAGCTACTAATAAAAGGACCTAACCCTCTTTTTTTTCGGACTTAACGGGCCGGCCCGTTGGGCCAAGGACCATTTAACATCTCTATCCCCTATTGTTAAGGCAAAATTGTTTGTTTGGACAATTAAAAACACTCACAATAGTAATTGAAAGCATATTTTTCTTTCTTAAAACATATTAAATTTATTATTTCTACTAAATAATTTGAGAAAAGATATATTGCCAATTAGAGTACAATTAGGTTGACAACACAAGTAAAAATATCTAAAAAAATAAAAATAAAAAAGTACACAAGTGGATGTTTCTACTTGTGTTGTCAACCTAGTTGTACACTAAGTCGACAATATAGCATTTTTCAATTAATTTTCCTCTTTTTCTAATAAATCACATGAAAGAGAGTAACACTACTGTTAGACAAGTTACTTAGTTACATTTTATCTATGAATATGTATATTTTTAAAGTTAAATGTCATGTTTTAAAAAAACAACGTAAAAAAAGTATAACGTTTAATAATATAAATAAGTATTTTTATATAAAAATTATGGATAACAATTAGTCCGTGGAAACACAAAAAATTGTGAAAAAAAGTCTTTGTCAGCCATTCAATGGTCAATTAGTCCCCTATTGTTAAGGCAAAATTGTTTGTTTGGACAATAAAAAACACCCACAAAATAATTGAAAAGCATATTTTTTGAGGAAGAAAATATATATAGTAACTTAAAAAATTAAATTCAGTCCACTGTATTTATCACCAAATCTTCTCTCCTTTCCAACAGTAGTAGTTGAGAAAACAAAACCCTAAAAGGGGTTCTTTGCAAAAACGATTCGCCGCCAGAATGATAATTTCTCTTATTTAACTTTGGGACCCTTTTTATCTCACTCAGTCTTTTCATACACAAACTCACAAACCCACCCCTCTCCAAACTCGTTGTTCCTTTGGCTTTATTGATGAATCAGAACAGTATGATTGCTCACTGAAAATTTGAGCATGGCCCTTTTGCCAAGACTCAATCTTTTAGGTCGAGCGTCACTCGACATGTGGTGAAAAACTGGGTTTTCGTTTGTGCCTGATCATACCCTTTTGACTGTTTCTATTCATCTGCAGGAACTGAGCTATCCTCGATACTTTTTTTTGGTCAAAGGTTGAATTTTTGTGAGCTTGAAAAGCTTTGATTTTAAATATTTGCCTAAAATGGGTTCCGTTGGATTGGTGAGGTATCGGTCGTGGTAGCTTTCCTAGGGTTTGTGAGGTCGGTCACTGTTTGTGATATCAGTTGTTACCATTTATTTTCTTATGGAATGAGCAGTCGTAAATAACTCGGGAGGGTCATCTTTTTTTTTTTTTGTTTTTTTGCGTTCTTTCGGAATATTTTATTTTGTTGAGAATCATGTTGTCTGAATTGGGTAGGATGCCGATGATTGGTGATAATGATAATTCCTTTGGGGATGAATTTGAGAAGGAGATGGGTCTGCTCCTTCGTGAGCAGAGAAGGCAAGATGCTGATGAACTTGAAAAAGAGCTGAGTTTGTACAGAAGTGGATCTGCCCCACCTACTGTGGAGGGTTCTTTGAATGCGGTCGGTGGTTTGTTCAATCATGGAGCCACTGAAGGTGGAAATAATGGTGGGGCTGGGATTGGCCAGGCTTTTGCTGAGTTTGCCAGAAATAAGAATGTCAATGGCTTCTCGTCTGAGGAGGAGCTTAGGTCTGATCCCAAGTATCTGTCTTATTATTACTCGAATGTCAATCTAAACCCCAGGTTGCCCCCTCCTTTGCTGTCGAGGGAGGATTGGAGGTTTGCTCAGAGGTTACAGGGAGGGAGCTCGGCAATTGGTGACAGGAGGAAGGTGAATAGGAATGATAGTGGCAATGGCGGGCGTTCGATGTTCTCGAATCCACCCGGTTTTAATCAGAAGAAGCAAGAGAGTGAAGATGAGGATAAATTGCATGGTGGTACTGTGGAGTGGGGTGGTGATGGGCTTATTGGGCTGCCAGGATTGGGGCTGGGTAGCAAGCAGAAGAGTATTGCAGAGATATTTNAGTGTTTTCACTTATTTGCGCTTTTATTTATTACAGAGTTGTAATTTGGCATTTATTACCTTACATGGAGTGCTATTGACAACTATGTGTTTTGGTTGCAGGTTTTTTAGGAAGTTGTCTGTGTAATTCTTTCTTTTAGAGTAGACATTGGTTTATCACCCTTTTGAATTGATAGGGTATAGCTTTAAAAAAAAATTTGTTGGCTAAAAAAAATTGTGATTGGTTTGCTACTCATAGTATTAGTGGAATCTTTTAAAATGGTGCATATTTTCTGTCTTTTTGTGTTGTATTAAATAAGAAACATTAGTTTTGTCATTTATCATATAAGCTAGACATCCTAATTGTTCTTTTCACATGATGAACTTCAATACGCCTGTCTTATTAGCAGTTTATGTCTACAAGTATCTGTAATGAACATCCAGATGCCTGGAGAGTTGAGATAGATGCGTCAATTCTGTTTCCAGTTTGTTTTATTATTTCTTCCTTGTTTGAAATTTAAATTTTATGCATATGTAAGTATGTCTTAATTAGTTTGTGAAATTCTTAGCTGTATACAGGAAAACTTGTGCTTTTACACAGATACAATTCTTTCTGTCTTTGGGATTGATAATTGAATCGCATTCTTAGTCATACTTGCTTGGTCATTTGCCATTAAAGTTGACCCTTTTTGCAGCTTTCTGTGTGGCAGTTGTGTACTTGATTTCGGTCTTATATGTATATTTTGTTGAAGTTTGAACTGAAATTTTATGTTTTTTTACTGGGTGCCTGTTTTATTACGTTTATAAAAAATGCTTCATATATGTTCAGGATGATCTTAACCGTTCGACTCCAGCCTCTGGCCATCCTTCACGCCCTGCAAGCCGAAATGCTTTCGACGAAAATGCCGGTGCTATGGGCTCTGTGGAGGCTGAGCTGGCGGCCAACTTGCGCCGGGATCTCACAGCTTCGACTCAGAGCATTCAGAGCTCGTCTGCTGCTGCACCTTCTTCATATTCTTATGCTGCTGCTTTAGGTGGGACCTTATCAAGAAGCTCGACTCCCGATCCTCAACGTATCACTCGAGCTCCGAGCCCCTGCCCAACTCCTATTGGTGGAGGCAGATCTGCAAATCATGAAAAAAGAAGCTTAAACAGTCCCAGCTCATTCAATGCTTCTTCTTCTCACTCTAACGAGAATGTAGATCTCGTTTCTGCATTATCTGGCATGAACCTTTCTAACGGCATTCTCGATGAGGAGAATAATCATTTGCCGTCTCGGGTTTCGCCAGATGGCGATGACCGTAAAAATTATCTTCTTTATAACAATCTCCAGGGAGGCCAGAATAATAACTCTAGGCAACACGCTTATATGAAAAAGAACGAGAATATGCAGTTCAACATGTCTTCTTCCTCTCAGCAAGCCGAGCTTCAGAAAAACGGGGTCCCTTCTAATAACTTGTACCTTAAAGGATCTCAGTATCAGCAGCATTTGGACAGTCCCAACAGCTCATCATTCTCGAATTATGGAATGGGCGGTGGGTACCCGATGAGCCCGATTTCGGGTCAACTCGGAAGTTCTAATTTGCCACCTTTGTTCGAGAATGCTGCAGCAGCATCTGCTATGGGTGTGCCTGGAATGGACTCGAGGATTTTAGGTGGCTCGAATCTGGGGGCTGCTGCAGCAGATCATAGCCTCGGTAGAATGGGAAATCAACACACCCCTTATGTGGACCCATTATATCTGCAGTACTTGCGAACGGCTGAATATGCGGCTGCAGCTCAGGTTGCGGCTCTGAATGATCCTTCCTTGGATAGAAATTATATGGGTAATTCGTATATGGATCTTATTCAAAAAGCCTATCTTGGGAATTTACTTTCCTCTCCTCAGAAATCGCAGTACGGTGCTCCTTTGGGCAGCAAGACAAGCGGCACATCGAGTCCTCATGGTTACTATGCGAATCCTGCTTTCGGGATTGGTTTGTCTTATCCAGGGAGCCCGATGGCAAGCCCGGTTATTCAGGGTTCGGGTGGTGGGCCCGGAAGCCCGTTAAGGCATGGAGATTTTAATATGAGATTCCCTGGTGGTATGAGAAATGTTGCTGGGAGTGTTATTGGGCCGTGGCATTTGGACGGTATGGAGAACACTTTTGCCTCTTCACTACTGGAAGAGTTCAAGAACAATAAAACGAAATGTTTTGAACTAATGGAGATTGCTGGCCATGTAGTTGAGTTCAGGTATTTTATTTATTTATTTTTTATTTTTTATTATTATTATTATTTTTTTTTGCGTTGTTATAGAGCCCATGTACTTCTATTAAGATTTGCTATATGCAATTAGTGCTGATCAATATGGGAGCCGATTCATTCAACAAAAGCTTGAAACTGCCACGACGGAAGAGAAGAACATGGTTTTCCAGGAAATCTTTCCACAGGCTCTTGCGTTAATGACCGATGTGTTTGGAAATTATGTAATCCAAAAGGTATCAATATATCTGTGTATGTGTATGGCTCTGTTCTACTTAGTTGGAGTTTTTAAGGCTACTTTTAGTCTGTATTTGGTTTTAAAAATATTGTGTCTTCAGTTTTTTGAACATGGAATGGCGGCTCAAAGAAGAGAGTTGGCTGGGAAGCTATTTGGACATGTACTTAACCTTAGCCTCCAAATGTACGGTTGCCGTGTGATACAGAAGGTAACATTGTATTTGGATTTTTGAAATTTGGTCAAAGAGGAAAAACATATCTCATTATATATTTGATGAATTTTACTGAAGTTAAATGACTGAAATGGATTTGATTTATCTGATTCTGAATGATAAATGCTCTGATTATGTAGGCTATAGAAGTAGTTGATGTGGATCAGAAGATCAAAATGGTAGAAGAGCTCGATGGACATGTAATGCGTTGTGTTCGTGATCAAAATGGAAATCATGTAATCCAGAAATGCATCGAGTGTGTTCCTGAAGATCATATTCAGTTCATTGTGTCTACGTTTTTTGACCAAGTTGTGACTCTCTCTACTCATCCATATGGCTGTCGTGTGATTCAGGTTAGCTAGATAAATATAGTAAAATAGCTTTCGATTTATTCTTTGGTAATAAAATACATCCAAATTAATTACCAATGTGATTGTGTTACAATTCAATATGAATAGCGTGTTTTGGAGCATTGCAAAGATGAAAAAACTCAGAGCAAAGCAATGGAAGAGATTTTGGGTGCTGTAAGTATGTTAGCACAGGACCAGTACGGAAACTATGTTGTCCAGGTTTGTTACATGTTTTTAATACTTAATTTTGATATTTTGTTTGCAATCGAGCTTAAGTGTTTTAACATTCTAAGCACCACTTGACAATTCTACTTTTGACATGTCTCTTATTATTGTGTTAAACAAAATACGTACTAGTCTTCTTGATTGCTGGACTTTCACCTTTGAATTTCACATCCAAAAGTTGAATAGTTAATGATATAGGTTGTGAAAAACTAAATTAAATCGAATTTTGTGATAAAATTGGGTAATGAAGGTATCAAATGACATATTTTAACCACTATATTGTTCATATATCAAATGAACCAAATGAATCTTATGTTCTGACTTTATTCAAATCTTTTAACCACTATATTGTTCATATATCTTCGTACTTGATCATTAGGCTTTATTTGCTTTATTACGAAGCTGTATTCTAATAAATTGCTATAGCATGTTTTGGAGCACGGGAAGCCACACGAGCGATCTACCATAATTCAAGAATTAGCCGGAAAAATAGTTCAAATGAGCCAGCAGAAGTTTGCTTCAAATGTTGTTGAAAAATGCTTAACTTTTGGCGATCCGAGTGAACGCCAGCTGTTGGTGAACGAGATGCTTGGAACAACTGATGAGAATGAGCCTCTTCAGGTTTTGATGCATTTTTTTATTTTTTTATTTTTGTTCGTTCCAAACAGCTGTGGTAGATATATCTGACTTCACCACTATGATAGTCTACTCGATTAGTGAAAAGTACATTTGTGTCTATATTTATTGCGTGTGATGGTACTTAGATTTTTTCTTTTCTTTTCCTGCAACCATTCAGGCTATGATGAAAGACCAGTTTGCAAATTACGTTGTACAGAAAGTGCTCGAGACGTGTAGCGATCAGCAACGTGAGCTCATCATGTCAAGAATTAAAGTTCATCTGAATGCACTAAAGAAATACACTTATGGAAAGCATATAGTAGCTCGTGTAGAGAAACTTGTGGCTGCCGGGGGTATGCACATCTTGGCTTCTTGATTCTTTAT